AGTCAATCAGTCAATCAATCAATCGGTCAATCAATTAATCAGTCAATCAATTAATCAATCAACCGGTCAATCAATCAATCGGTCAATCAATTAATCAGTCAATCAATTAATCAGTCAATCAATTAATCAGTCAATCAATTAATCAGTCAATCAATCAATCAATCGATCAATCAATTATTCAATCAATCAGTTAATCAATCAATCAATCAAACGGTCAATCAATCAGTCAATCAATTAATTAATCATTCACTCAATCAAGGAAGGGTTGGAAGTAAATAAACGGTTATCCTAAATAGCAGCGGAAAATAATCACATCCGATATTGATATCTAGATATCGGAGATGTTTATTTTTGTTTATCAATAACAGTTGATCATTAAATCATAACCAGCGTTTGTTGACATGCTAGTTTATTGTGGTAATCGACTGTCAAATCCGTCAGTTATCTCTCTGTAAATACCACGAGTAAAGTGTAGTTCAGCCACCGGTRCAAGTAATTCAAAAACTTGTTGATAGGCAGTCTTATCTCCACAACACAACCGATCATCACAGATTACAACATTTTGGTTCAACGAAAAAGGACGATTTCAACATCTGTTACGATCGTTAAATTCCCAAATGTATACAGAAGCTAATTGACAGACAACGGTCTGTTCTATTTTTAATGACATAATGACTGTTCAACGTGTTTGCGGCGTCGACGCTRTGACGTTTGCAATATGAARAAAACCCTGAGATTATGATCTTACCTTGGCCAGAACAAAGGAGAAAAAACCTTTTTTTACATGACAAAAAAGCAACAAGCTTTTAATTATAAATTGTTTTATGTTGGGAAATAGACCGTATTTGTAAGCTATAATTCTGGTGCGGTTTACTGCCTATGCACAGATTTCTTTTTCACGGCTTTACGGTCAACACGTTGTATCGGTAAGTGAATTATATGTGCCCAAAACTCACTAGTGAATATAACTAAATAATATAGTGAACATAACAATAASGTTGGGTTACTTCTAGTATTTCACAGACTTTTGACTCGAAGAATTTCAACGTTATTAAACCTGTAAAATTGAATTTGACTGTTACTCTAAGTAAAAATACGCAAGTGAAAACGTGTGCGTTCTAACGTAACGTGTATTAGAGTATACCATATTAGAATATATCAATTTCAAGGGGGGTTTCTTTCTTCTTGGCTTTATTATATTTAGCCATTGTAACCCGCTAATCCAGGCRTCATATATTGCTTTCTCTTAAGTCTATTTGACCTTGATGTCTTGTTTCACAGATTAACGGATTTTAACAGAGTTGCAATACAAAAGATCATTAAAAACCTAATACTATGTCAAAACCGAAAAAAAACTAAGACGAACAGCTGAAAGATAAAAACATGCGATACGAATATGAAGTATATTACTTTTCATCGTCTGATATTTGATCCAAAAAATGCGGAATCACTTGAACAAGAATCTTATGAATGGCAAGCAATTGGAAAGCAAATCTCACCCAATACTTACAACGTACGTCTGAAGACACCGAAACTCCTCGGATCATGTCGTTATAAACCATTACAAAAAACAACAAGTCGATATTCCAAAATTTGCTTCTCATGTTCTCTTAAACAGTTATGTCTTTTTGCAGCTAAAATCTTAATTTCCACAGCGTTACACGGCATGAGGCCATCCTGATAGAGTTGTGTATAGCTGACTCTCTTTGCTTGCATATAAGATGTCGAAGCAGTATTTGTGAAGCTCAGTTAAAAAGGTCTTTTAGGCTTGTGGATGAGATATAAGGTATCTTATACTTTTATCAGCAGGGGTTGGTAAGGATAACTTGCCCTGCAGCTAAAGTATTCACCKCACTCCTTTTCTACAATGACAATCGATGCTGGGCTATAATGAATGCCGATGACACTGCGATCGGGAATTATTTATAGTATACAATAGAACACTTGATCGTAAGTGTATATTATAGAAGGCTTGATCGGACTAATTATTCGATGATTCGTTGTTGATCGGGCTCTTGACAGATGGCTCATAGCTTCGAACGTTTGATCGCTAAAATATGCGGGAAAATAGACAAAAAGTAACCCTGGGAGGGAGGGAGGGGCTTGTTTCGCTGTTTCATCGTTTAAAAGAGAAATGAAGGTTATGCTGTAACAYATTCATGTTTACAGCTTTATGCCTTAGAATATGTAAATATATCGATAACAAAMGTAACATTGATGATAACGGAAGCTCCGTCCARTTTTACATGATTGACACGCCAGAAAAACGCAGTTTCACCCGGGAGTTTCAACTACAAACGTGTGAATCCTTTCAACTACAACGAAAGGATGCACAATTAAAGCCCGTAAGAAGAGGTTAAACAACCGATTAAAAACCTAAAAATTAAAAAACTCACATCCCATATCAATGACCCCTTCTTCTCCTTTTGCCAGTCCTTGTCCTCCACGAACATCCACTTTTTTAATATATGTACGATAGTCTGTGATGTCATGCTGTGACAATACTTGTATGACACCCCCTCCCCCTCCGTCACCACAACGACTATTTGCGATTTTGTGACTGAATCCGCTAYTTCCTCCTTTAGCATTTAGCTTGGCATTGCTTGTAAGTACAACCTGCAGAGAAGTAACATATTGATGGAAATTGMCACCGCAAAAATGCCTACTAGACAAATCGTCTGCCAAAAAAYTCTTGGTAAAGGCAAAGATATAGAAAGACAAAGAGATAGAGAAATGCACAGGCCAAGAAAAACAAGAAATACATACATTTTTTCCTTGAAGACGAATTAAGCCTCCTGCACTGCCTCCCGCACAGTGATCATCGTTAGTCGTGTTAAGAGACGAGTAGCCATCTGCGGTGATTAACGCGCCTTAAGGAAGAAACGCTCGATATTAGAAAATGGATGCGATTTGATGCGACAATAGTGGCGGACTTGACTGCAATAGAGTGTTGGACACATCTTTTGCATTCATTGCTCGATAGATGTGTGAAATAAAACTCAATAAAAACAAACCACCCAATCCATCAATCAATCATGTATGTATACTAACCAACAGTCAGCGTGCCTCCATGCGCCGTTACTTCTATGGCTCCACCACCTGAACCAGGTTTGCTTTCAGAAAACATCATAGTGCCTAACGTTTTGGGGTGAAAAAGAACAATAATGAGATTTTCAAGGTTGTGTAAATTGTAAATCCAGTTTATGATGCRCTTTATAGGAACATTCTTTCCATGATAATTATAATGACATTTAGTGCTCGTCAAAGTGTTGTTACACTGTGTAATTGCCTCTGCAATTTATCTCGCAACACAGGTTGATGGACATTATAATAAGGGTCGTTACGCAACTTTTTTGTACAATGTACAGAACTATGATTTTCTACGCAACTTGTGTCGCAACGTTGTAGTAAGATAATTTTGCTGACAAAATTACACCCAGCGCCTTGTAGCCAGCTTGGAAGTGATAAAAAGGTGATGGCAATGATGACRATGAAAATGATAATGATAAGCTTGGGTTAGGTGAGGTCTGCAGTTTAAGAAAAGAGATAATGATGATGGCTATAATGTCAGTGATGATGATGATAATAATGATGATGATGATAATGATGATGCTGATGATGACATACCTGTACTTCCTCCCATTACGTAGGCGAAGTTAGAATACCACCAGCTGTATAATCGTGATGWATTACGGTCTTGATAGAATCCACCACCTTTCCCACCATGCCCACCGCCATGGAAACTAAATGCTCCTCCTGGGCCAGCACCTGTAATAAATGGTCCCATTTATAGCACTAACCTAATATAACTATGCAACTCGCACCCAACTCGCACCCAGAAGGACCGAGCGATGCGAAATAAGGGACTAGACTATCGTATATTTAGATTCCTTACCCAGTACACAGCAYGAATTGCTTGTCCTGATGAAGCCACCAATCCAAGATTGAGAATATGGAACGGATTCCACGGACCTTCCTCGGACATCTAACATTGAAGCTATCRTGAAATTTCCAGTAGCATTCAGTGATAGAGAATGATTACCTTTTATGGAAACATGATTCCCGCTATTGAATATAGTCTTATGTTCGTCTCGTATGGTAAAGACGGCAACTGTATAGTTCCAGACGTCTCCATTGGGACCTGTGAATGACTTGCGCACTAGGTCTCCACGTAGCAATATTGAATTAGAAGAGTTTTGGATAAAACATTCATTGGTATCGATAGTAAAATCCTCGCAGGAAACTACAAGAAAAATCACACAACATTAGTATTACGTGATCCATCAACTACATGCAGGACTTGCTTAATTCGCATTGAAAATGCTTGTCCTCACAAATTGATTTGTCTTCTTGTGCGCAAAAAAATCGTCGATTTCAGAAGAAAAAAAATTTGACACTTATTRAATAGGCTGTTAGCTTTCTATATCTTTCAAACATTAAACAAATCCATCAACTGAGAGCCGTTGYTACCAAGCTTTGATAAACACTCAGAAATTATGTGTGACAGTATTTTCAAATYGTTATTAAGACTTTGTCTCCTCCGCAGTCAAAACTTTATTTGGCTCATGTGGGATCCTAAGAGTCTAACGGGTCACTACCGGGCGCAGTCTCCCTCAGTCATATTGAGAATACAGGAGGACCAAGAGTAGAAAGGAGAGCGATCATTTTCATTGGCCGAGTAAAAATTAAATAATCCTATACAAAGTATTAGACCAAATATTGCCTTCGGAAGTAAAAATATACATGCTTAACATATCTCTGATAGCAACCCTTGTTTCTAGGATACAATGATGTCAAAACACACTAATAAAGGTGTATTAAACAGAACCTGACTACCAAGATACCAATTTCTATGCTAATACGATCTCACTTCCTCAAGCCTAAGATTACCTTTCTTTTCTACCTTTTGATGAATGACTAATTTTTAGCTTTTTCAGCGACCGTTMATCTTGATTGGCTGATCAATTGCAACATATGCAGCGATAAAAGCGCCTTTAGCAACTCGAAACGTCTAAAACTCAATTCAGAGAGTTTTGTCAAAGAAGCCTAAAGCACTTTAAACAAACATGGCTGCATAAGAACAGTGTTGTTTTTCCTGTGCGGCGGGATTTAAGGTTTTCTTTATAATCCAACCAATTCAAATGCAGCACTCGTCGCCCACGCTTCCTAGAAAGTTAAATAACACTTTTGCATCGGAGCGTTTACTCATCAATTTCGCTTATATGTACTATCACTKTTCTCCACAACAAAGCGCGCAAGAAAAAGGCGCCAAAAATCAGGCGGGACGCGCTTTTTTTTGGCGCCAAAATAATAATGCCTRCTCATAAAACAAGAAAAATAATTGGCAGGCAAWTTGTACGCGATTCTAAGATTTCTGCWGGTCGGAACCTTGYGAACTTTGAAGCGGTAATCGTATTTACACACTGTCCTCAGCTCATTACCAAAAAGTCTTTTTCCAAAAAAGGGTTTATTTTGACATCATGCTGTCTTCTTCCCGTAAACAATGAGGATTTCGACGAGTCTGTCAAGTCTGTCAAAACTTTCTTTTCTATATTCATAGATTTTGTTCTTTTAAAGATGGCGTTAGAACTAATCAGAGTGTGTAACATTATATATGCAGACGAAATAATTAAACAAAAGAAAAGTTTGATGTTTTTCAAAATCCATTCAGATGTCATCATCGTGAGTTAAATTATAATGAAGATCTAGACACTGACATCTCTCAAAAGTTGTCGAAGCGTCGGACTTTTTCTCTATACTGATATAAAGAAATAAACTAAGCAAAACAATAAATAAACTGACAAACTTAATATCAATTTAACATAGGCTTTCTATATATATTTGAGCTCCATGAGGTCCGGTCATGGCTCAGACTGAGAGTCTGTGAGATACTGCAATCACCTGAAGTGCCACAGCGGACTTAACGATGACTTTTCTGAAAGATGCACGTCCTGAAACTTGAAAACAGCCGAGACAGGTTGTTTAAAAGCTATTTTACTCTGAACCAAAGTTAACTCCCTCASTAGGTTCTTATAGGATTAGCCCTGAATGTGAAAATAGGGTTTTGGACAGTCAAACGATGTTTGTTTTTCTTGAATACAAATATACTATTTATAGAGTTTTAATTCATGACTGAACCAGTACAGCTGTGCATTGTATGTGATAACTAGTCTTTCATTAACGTTTTTTTCCCCTGTCATTCTCAAAAGGTAATGTATTAAGTAGTGAATAAGCGACTTGATGTCTGCAGCATAAATGAATTATATAATTGGTTTGTTAGAACATAGTTAATAGTTAATATATGGTTAGAATGATCCTCTCTACTGCATGCTGTCAGTCGCACGCGTAGAAAAATCGTGCTACACTACAGGATTCGATTTATAACGTGTTCGTCGAATCGYGTGCGGCAATCGCTTATYTATAGTCTGAGCTGATAACAGTCCAAACTCTTGGCTTTCAGGTGACAATCAGAAAAGGTTAAATACTCTTTCCTTAATAGCCTAATCGACTAGATTAAACTGTGCCAAATAACGAACAATGAAACTTTCTCCCCCTGCTAGCTTGGAACGTGCTTTATTAGTGCTAGCCACTATCAGGTCTTTGTATTATATAAAATAACAGGAGACTTCCAGATCGCGTAGGATTTTAATAGGACGATACGAGGAAAACGAGTTTTGATAATAAATAAAATGTTGGGTTGTCCCATACGAATTGGAACGAATCAAGTGATTGATGAAAGGGATATATGATGCTTAATGATAAAGACGTCACAAAATATATCAAAAACACTTCATCAATATAAATGAATTGCCCGCCTGGTTGTGTTTTTTTTTCCCCTTCTGTCAATTGGTTTTACTCAATGTCTTGTATAGCTTTGCATTTAACAGTCTCAATATTACTGAAAAATAAGGCGTTGTTTCCCCCTTTTTTATGTACATTATATTTCGGCTATACATTATATTTCGGCTATTAAAACAATCAAAGAATCTGGACACTTGCGAACTTAACCTCCCCAAGTATCAGCTGCTTTTGAAACTAAAATATGCAAACAACCAGTGCATCAAGTGTGGACATATCGCTTGCCAAGAACACTWTTTCCTACAAACAACAGATTGTCACCGCAGTCCAGCTCACAGCTGCTTAGCAAGAAATWGATTTTCGKTTTTTTGGAGTCATGACTGTCTTGTAAGAAATCCTCATAAGTCATTCGTTATCATTTGTGTAYTTTATATCGTTTGTTTCCCCACGACTGTGTTTGTTTGCYGAAGGTACGTTGCCAAGCAACGCTTATGACGACAGCGAATGTGAAAGTGGCAAATTTTGGGTAATGTTTAGATACAAATCCCTCATGGGAGATAATTGCAACCTCCTTGAGGAGGCAGCGTGGTGCCTTAGACTAAAATAGCTTATCGTATCTGCATTAAAACAGTTGCTTAGTGATCTTGCGCTGTGTGTCTTACCAAATACAAATGGAAATAAAAATATATTTGCGTGYTTAAAAATGACGAAAATACTTGTATCTAATCGATTGTGAGGATTAAAATTACCAAAAGAAAAGATCAACAAGATCGTTTTTTCTCATTAASACCAAAATGATTTTCCATTGACTTATTATTTTCGTGGCAATATTGTCTCTAATTCTACCGCTGGCATATTATTAGTGTCTTTGTATTCTAACATGTCTTAAGCTCGGCGCACACACGAGACTACGGCGTAGTTTTATTTTGTGTCTTTAATATCGTTATGCTAAAAGAGGCTTTATCAGGTGAAAAAAAGGAAGTTGAAACTAAACCTTAAACGAACTGAACCAACACGACTATAAGAGTTAATAAGATTGACTCTGTTGTTATCCGGAAATCAGCTAAAGTTTCGCTAKAGATTCAGATATTGAATCGATTGAAGACCGAAAGAAGCAAGGTGCGCTTGCTCTTAACACGAAAGTAGATCAATGCGCAGGGTTAAAAAGAGGATTTCCCTTGTGCGAAATACATGATACGGTTTACAAATAGAAAATGTCTGCGCTAGACGAMCAAAATTCGTTTGTGACTTTCAAGGCGAAAGTGATTTGTACTAAGTGATTAGTATAGAACTTTTCTCCTCGGATATTAATGACCAAAATTCGATCATGTTCCCTAAGCGGCCTTTAAAGGTCATAATAAATTCTGTCTTACAAAAAAATATATATTTGATGTTCTAATAACGTGCCGTCGCACGAAAACCTGCGACTCCAACACAGCCATAAATACGACAAAACACTGATTAAGTTTGAAATTACCCATTCCCATTGAGGAAACTGTGATATGAGAACAACGTTGTTAATGTTTCAAAACGTCGCGCTGATATCACACGCACTGTCCACAGTTCGCCATTCTCAATAMTGTAATCAACRTTACTATTTTAAGCGCTATTTTTCTTGGTACTTTTAATCAAATCCAAGRACGAACGATTTATTGCATTAAGTAGGGAATATAACATAAAAAAAGATTCAGCATTTGCGAGAAGATCAATTTATGTATTAGAGGTGCTTTTGAACGCAATTCAGTTATAGTTTTGGATGGAAATCTCCATTCAGCTTCATAAACACAAATCCCAACGGAGATAATTCATAACACGGGGGGTATATTACTAAAAGTCAAATTTCTTACCTTGATGTAAAAGTACAACGATTTTTAAAAGCGCCAGCACGACCTTAAAAAGTTAAAAAACATGTTAGGAAACTATAAACTATCAATTATGAATTTCACTAAGAACAAATCCTACATGMTTGAATCGAAATATGCATTTAATAAACTTATTTTACCGAATTCAAGCCGCATCCATGCATTTTCCGTTGCAAACAAGTGCTGTAAGCGGGCGCCATTCTCAGAAACGTGTATCTCGTAGTGAACCCTCACGCCATCCACCTTTTCGCGTTGTCGTAAAATGGTGTATTCTCAGAGCTAGTCGACGAGCGTTTTCGTCACAGCTTTAGCTCAAGAGAATTGACGTAGCTATCATGATTGGTGGCTGACAGCTGTCTGCCTTAAGTCAAATAACAAGAAAAACTCTAGAGTGTATATTAATGATTCGTTTATTAGCCCCCCAAATTCAAAAAAAATCCTCAATTCAGATTTTATACAAAGATTGACACATCTCCAATAATTAAAAAAAAAACTTCTTTGTAGCACCAAGTAACCATTACGTTTACTGCCGGTTTGAATAATATAAAGCATTTATCGCAAATCTGAAAATTTCTTTCACTTTTCCGCTTTTTTGATAATGTTGTGAAATAGTTCCGGTTTCTYGGCARAATTTATGATTTTATATGACAATTGTACTTTGTATGGTAGACCGTAACCSGCGCACGCTTTAATCGACATGTCATCATCACATACAAAGACACTTTTTCTCCTGCTTTAATWGTCTCCATTTCTATTCTTTTAATCTCTTYTACACTGTTTTGACTCTAGCTTTGCTAAATCTCATTTTTCAGTTTCTTTTTGGCGATAATCAGGTCTGATTGTGTACATCTTTGGGACAGTTAAATACGGAGATCTACATCATCGTCACTAATAACGTACTAGGAGTATTATCTGATCAATATGCTCCTGATTCATGCAAGGCAGCTTAAACACACTTTGTCTGCTTTAAACATAACATAATATTTCGACGGACAACTTTACTTAATGTAAGGCTTATCATTGTAATATAGTCATAATCCATGGGGCAGAGTGACGGATTTCGATATTCAGTAATTATACCAGTGTACGTAATGATGATATTTCACCTGCTTTGSAGATCGCTGTTTCTATAAAATGTTGTCAAGAAAGAAGGTGCACGACCGAAAGTTAACCTGGGTATTCGAGCAATATTGATGCACAACATTCACCGCAAACCAATCAAACATCGAAACATTTCATTTTGTATACAATAGTGTCTTCTGTGTGTGATATAGATGAAGTTATTGCCATCAATCACTAGGTTGAACTATTCTCTTTTCTCTCTACTGTCAGAATATGATATGGGTTGATATGTTCGCAACAATCCACTTATCACAGTTACCTGTCCGATATCCCATTAGCCATTATACATTTATTTACTTTACTCTACTCATAAAGTTATAAACACAATTTTTAATACATACACTTATATCATCTGTCAATTCCTATTCTTTTTTTTTACTTTTATAATGAAGTATTAACATGCCGAGTTTTAAGTTTTACYCAATAATAAAGCCATCAATTTACTTGATTTACAAATAACATGATCCTTTKCTCAATGTTCGTTCGTTTTAATTTAAAGAAGAGTTAAAGACATTTCCTACARCGCAGCCCTTTATTCATAATTGCAATTACCACTTTGGAAGTCTGCCATTAGTTAACACATCAACTTATYAATGGTTCATTYTTTCCATTCGTTTAATCGTGACATGTTTGTCTTACAAAACATGGATTGCTTTGCAATAATACACCCTATCAACCATCATTTGTACACGCGTAAATTTATGCTTTTCTCATCATTTATCCGATCTTCACTTATCCCTTTCTATAAACATTCAATCAAGGATATCTATACGTTCCTTTATTCATTTCTCGTTTTGYATTTTCCACTTAATCATGTTAAAATGCATTACCAAAAATAATGAAACAGGATAAAAATAATGAACACCATGACAACGTATTAATCAAGTTAAGTGAAGTCATAAAATTGTACAAATWAGAAATAAAGAGAAAGAAAAAAACCTAGTAAAGATCATCTAATCATGAACGCGACCTTATGTCTGCATTTCACCCGATTAAAATAAAGTTTTCTTTACTGAAAAAATACCCTTTGCTGTTGAGATGTCATAGATCCGATTGTACATTTAAACCCAATGTGATAATTGAAGCGGTTCCTTTGATGTCTTCCAGCGGCTCTCTATACAAATCTCATCTCTAAGAAAACGATTATTGCATAAAAGTCTAAACTCAGTGAAAAAAGACAGCATTTGCTTGAGAAGATAGTGATTGGCTAACAGATGATTAACCAGTAAACATGCCAGCGTTTTTGGCCAAATCGATCTCTAGTGGGAAACAATCGATCTGCTTTTACAAGAACATGACAGTTTCAAGTTAGTTGATAAAGGATGGTTGTTATATGAMCTAAACTCATATTGTCAAAGAGAATAAATACTGTCATTTCATAGGTAAACACTAGTGACATGTTGTAGATCATTTTCTCTTGCACAATATCACTAGGAATTGAGRGTGTTTTTGCGAAGACATACCTTCTTGAGAAGGGAGGGTAGAGCGATTTTCGTAAGTCACGCCCATATAATGTATATAGTATGTCAGTACCGTGTTAAAAGTAGAACCGATAGACTTTTTTTATTTTGCATTCAGCACAATAAATATACACTTAGCTTAGTATAAATTGTATACACTAGAATTATAGGATTTCGGTTAAAAATAACAATTTCTGCCTAGCTATTGACAATGCTAATTTCAGATATTGTATAAGGTGTTTTAGCACCTTGACTAGAAAATTGATGAGGAAGCCGATACGACTTCRATTCGACAACAACACGAATTTTAAATGAACATCTAAATTCAGATAACAACTAGAATTGAGGATTTCGATACGGTTGCGATAAAGTTTCGATACGTTTACTTACTGTTTCGATACGTTTACAGTATGGTTAAGATACGGATACTTTTACGATGCGCTTTCGATATGGTTTCGATATGGACTTATCGTACTATAAACATTGCTCAGTTGGACAGACTTTTAAGAAGATTAAGTACCAATCACATGTCACCAGCCTTTTGCAGTATCAGCGAATAGTAACATAAAAAAAGAAAGTTCAAGAAAAGAAGCTTCTTTTCTCGGATTATTGGTAGACATTAATCGTTTTTGATAGCTGATCGAATTGGTTTTAGTCCTGTTCACATATCCTGTAGAAGGGAAGCGTCTAAGGTATGGTTCTTATTTGCCCTAAGACACCAGACATCAATCCCGTTCTGAAGAATATAAGAAAGATCAAAACTCGCCTATGCAGTTTATTATATGTGGAATAAAAAAGAACATAAAAATATTGCTATATTATACAAGTATGAAAGATATTCATGTCTGCTTCCCTGAAACCATGACTTTGCCTTCTTATTAATCGTTATAAATCTCTTTCATCCTTCTACTAAATGGTGACCGCAAGCAGTCTAGTCATAAGGGAGCTATAACTTGCTTCTAGGTCTCTATTAATTTATTAACCATTCAGAAATCTTACATATGTTTATTGATTTGTGCATAACTGAACCGTTTAATGATCAATTCATTTATCAATATCATCATCATCATCATCATCATTCTAATTGATTATCGTTATCATTGTAATCATAATCAGCTATCTATTGATTCTTACATTATATTTCAAGGGATTTGAAACTGACTGATTGATTAATTGTTGTAGACCAACTTTACTCATGAAACTTTGAAAACAAAGCGAGATACAAAAAATATTAAAGACAAAACCCAAAAATAAGCACTCACTTTTCATTCCAAGTCAAAATCTTATGAAACGAATACTTTCGTGACAAAACCCCGTATTAACATTCTGTTTATAATGGTACTTGAGCTTGAATCGCACTCGAGGAGAATATGAGGACAACATCTCAAATTCTCCGGATGTTTCTTTTCTGGCAGGAACCTTTTTGCAAGCTAATATTGAGAAAATTACCTGATTCGGAATTGTCTTGTATGAAGAACTTGATTTATATAATATCAATATTRTCGAGGACTAACACTGAAAGAAAACCGTGCTCCTTTAAAGAAGAAACGCGAATTATTTTCGGAGCGGATGTTTTTGAAGTGTTACTTTCCAATACACTTTGAACAGTTAATTTCTCATTCCCTCCTCCGCGGGAATTGAAAATGAATGGATGTAACAAACAGACTTAATGAAGAACAAGAATGAATGAATAAACGTTAAAGAAAAATGAATTTACTACATCAATACATGCACGAAAAAGGAAGTTCTGCTGCGCCATCGAGAAAATTTTTCTCGTTATACTTTAAACGTTTAAAGTAATCTCTCCCTCCCTCCCTTACTCCTCTTTCAGTAGCAACTATATTATTAAATATGTCGAGAAATACACCATGATAACATTCTCTCTGCATCTTGCAATGYAGCCAAGACAGGGCGCGTGTCAATATATGTGAACATACAGTTTTGGCACTGGATGCAAGCTTACCGGATGAGACATATTCAAGTCTTCCACTTGAAAAATTCAGCCTTCTCAAGTRCTTACAACATCACAGGTAACAGAATGCAAATCACAATTACTGATAACGCACGCTCATTTTGTATCAATAAATGTTCTTTTTTGAAAGTTAAACTCCTTGGTAAACGGTGTATAATACTTATATATGAAGACAAGATTGCGGTAAAAGTAATAAATTCTTTCTCCAGACATCGGTAAGATTATCAGATAAACTGCATTTTTTATGAAACTTTGTTCTAACGTCTTGAGGTCCCCACAAGATATTGAAAGCTAAAGTAAACTGTCATGCGGCAACCAGTCGTTTTTCAAAAAAATAAAAATAAATAAATAAATAAAAAATAAATAGCTGTGTCCAAATACGGGTGATCAGGTGCAATAGACCAACTCTGGCACGTAGAAAGAAAGGTATTACCACATTGATTGGAATGGCTAATTTATTAAATACATATTGAATATATTACTATGAGAATAGYAATCTTCTTAGAGGACAAGGGAACCACATACTTTTCCTTTCTGTACACATTATTATACCAACACAATGTCAAACCTGATATGAAACGCCATCTTGAAGCTTTGTCACTTGTTTCCTTGTGGTAACTAATTGAATCTAAAGACAAAAAAAGAACAAAAAAGTCTTAAGCTTTGGATCGATAACATTAAAAGCACTTAAAGCTTAATTGCAATTATACGACAGGTTTCTGGTGATAAAAGGAATGGATTGCATCAAGTAGGATGGGTTTACATCAAGTACTATTAAAAGCATGTACATGGTTGAATCTCGACATGACAGTACTCAGTGGTTCCTGTCTTTGTAAAGTGACATTACCCTGTACAAGAAACACAAGCATGACGTCAAATGTCATGTAACGTATAAATGACGTGGATTACGTAACTTATTACATATTAAAGTAGTCAAGTTAGTGTTAATTCAGACGAAACAATAAATATCAATCAATATTCTTAATGAAGCATTATTGTGTATTAAAATACTCTGGAGATGTATTACAAAATTGAGATGTATTAAAAAAAAAATAAGTAAATAAATTGAGAGGAAATAACGAGTGACGGAAACATGCCATGTGAYTTTAGTCTTAAACACACAAACCGTGGATTGTGACAGACATGACAGTTCTCATTTCGCTGCGTTTGTATTGAAATCAAGCACTAATGACAGTGACGTTTATTACAAGCGTCCACATTTGGACCATATGACATGTGTGCATAACGATGGAATGAATAGTGATTATTCTATTTTTAGTCCCGTTTAGTATGAATTTCATGCTGGGCTGGGAAGTACTGAATGTTTGTGGTAAAATCATACCTGGGTGATCTCAGTGCAWAAGTCTCTCTTCCACTGTCATACAATGCAAAAATAAATATACGAGATATTGGAGCTCAAAAGAGATCTTACTTCAAAATYTCTTCCCTTGGACTGCATATAAACCGTTGTGTCATCAAAGGGATATTAGCCCTTAGCACCCCTTTTGAGTTGGCACACCGGCCTCATAAACAAAACGAAACAAAACAAACAAAAAAGGAATAAAAAACGTCTGATATACTATTTCTAAAGATACTCTACTATACTCTACTGAACATTATATTGCAAGACTTGGAATACTGTCAACAGAGAAGACAWACGAGGCGCTAAGSAGTGAAATGGCTGTTTCTKCCAGATGACGCACTTCTGTTTCGACCCACGCAATCGTCAGCTCATTGAAGATAGATTTATAGCTTGATTATTACTTAGTAGAAAACGGTGGCGTAAAAGTAGTATGACGTGACCACAGTGAGACAATGCCTAATAGATACCGTAATCTTCTGACTTCACGTAAATCCATGCGACGACCATATGCCATATTTTTATTTTAATCTTTTTTTAATGAGTATAATAATATGTGCTGGCATGGGCTCCTGGTGCAGGGATTTTACTTTGATCAGCTGACTGCCAAATAWGTAGCCTGCGTAGCGGCTCTAGGGGAGGGGGAGGGGAGAAACGGAAGGGGAGGGAGTGGGGAGGAGCGGAAAAAGGAATAATAAGTAGCACAATCGATATTTTGATTTTCATACTCCAGATACTCGGCACTTATTTACTGCCGAATGCTACGATTTTGAATTAATGTCTACAGCTATTTTCCAGGCATACAATATGTGTCCATATCTTGCGGTTTCTTTATGATTTTACATKAAAATAACGCATTATCAGAAATAAATAAGTAAACAATCTATCGARCCCAGTCTTCTGAGCGTAGCTACAAGGAACGCCTTGCATTGATCGCATGACCCGACTGACCATGACGTCTAAATTTGAAATATTTACAATGTTAATCATCACTGAATTCTAGTACAAACGTGATTTTCTCTTCCGTCAAATAGCAGTTCAGAAAGGATTCATAATTATCATCAAGCTAGAAGTATACAAATCGTGATCGGTGTTTTCAATATTCGTAACCAGATGGCTTATGCATATCCATCGGAATCTAGGTTTTCTCAAATCTTCAGCGAAGAGTTATCTTGTCCAGTATGTCTCGAAGAACTGAAGGAGCCTAAGTGTCTCACKTCGTGTGCCCATAATGTGTGTCGAGAATGCTTGGAGAAAATGGCAGTACGAAGTGGTAAAGAAATAATATGCCCAACATGCCGAAGGAGTACACCCATTCCTGACAATGGAATACGAGSCCTGCCTACAAGTACCGTGTTAGTAAGATTGTTAGAGGCTTCACCAGGAAGAAAAGAACGGTTTGAGATTCAGAAAGCTTTGGAAAGTGGAAAACCAGTGGTTAAACGCATGGAAAAAAAGATTACAGAGCTTGAAAAGATCTCAGATGACATGACTTTGGACATGGAATCGGTGGAGAAACTAATTCATGARAAAGCTGATCAGCTGTGTGAAATTGTGAGAAAACAAGAAGTGGGTCTTTGCTCTGAAGTTAAGGAATACTATAAAAGAAAACAAGCAATAGTWCAGCATCAAAAAAGGAACTTRATGAAGCTTCATTCAAATGCATCTAGTAGTGTGAAAATTGCTGAAGATGTGCTTTCACAAAGCAGTATGGATGAATTTCTTGAAATAGCCAATGCACTAAACCAGCAACTTGAAGAAGTAGCTAACTTAAATCTTGAGGAAACTGATTTTAATTCTACATTTGATGAAGAACTTGTATTCAACTTAAATGTTGAGGCACACACTATTATAGAAGATAGAAAGATTGGTAAAATATCTCATAGGACAATACGACCACAAACAATCAAGTCATCGACAATAGATTGGTCAAGGTCTGGTGAAGTTGTTTTCAAACTTGGGCACAAAGGAAGTAGAAAAGGTTGTTTTAAAAGTCCAGCAGGCATAGCTGTAAATGAATTTGGTGAAACTGCAATTGCTGATTTTTTCAACAATCGTGTACAGGTGTTCGATTCTCGGTTGAAGTTTCTGTTTGAATTTGGTAAAAAGGGTATGGAAGATGGCAATTTCAATGGTCCTACAGGAATTGCTTACACACCGTACAATAACATTGTTGTCTTTGACAGCAAGAATTCTAGAGTACAGATATTCAACCGTAAAGGAGAGTTTGTGAGTAAACTAGGTCAACATGGATGTAAACAAGGTGAATTTGGACAACATGGCAGCTTATTTGTTGATGCATCTGGTGATATCATTGTAACAGATACTAATAATCACCGGGTACAAGTTTTCTCCAACAACGGCGAATTCAAGCTACAGTTTGGTAACAGAGGTACTGAAGGGTTTGATCATCCTTTAGCAACAGTTGCTATTGATAATGAGTATTTTATTTCTGACAGTGGCAACACCTGCATCAAAGTTTTCAATTCAGAAGGGGTRTATGTAAGGCAGTTTGGTAGAGAGGGTAGTGGCCCAGGGGAGTTCCATTGCCCTAGGGGTCTAGCTGTTGATTCAGTAAATAGATTTGTCCTTGTCTCGGACAGTGAGAATCACAATATACAAGTGTTCAATCTACAAGGAAGTTTTCAGAGGAGGATCCCAACCAAGAAAATCCCTGTGGCATTGGCAATAATACAAAACAACTATATACTTGTTTGCTCTTATCTTGGCAATTGTGTTCGATTGTTGTCGTACACATAGATCTTTAATGTTGTTCATAGCAATATGCTTCAAAGTCTTCACATGAATGAAGCAAATGAAGCAACAAAACAACTTCTTTAGTGAAGAGGATGAATCTAGTGGAGATGTTTGTTTAAGTTCCAAGCTTGTTTCTTAAATTGGTGCCCACTAAAGTTTGAAAACAGTTGTATTATATCATGGATTTTTATTTTAACCCCTATTTACAGCAATYGCATGTATTTTTATGTATCATATAGTAATAGTTTTGTAAGTATAAAATATTATGTACAGTTTTTATTTACAATCATAGAAATAACAAGCACAGTAATGCAGTGTGATAGAGTGATTTCATTGATGTCCATGAAATAGTAATCAAAATAGTTATGGTCTAGCAGTTTTTATTCAGAACAGTCTTCATAACACTAACTTCTGAACACAAGGGAAATTGTTMTAACTGTTACATTTGAGTGATAGTTTGAGTGAATAATATAGGTTCCATATTTCCATGCATCTGTACTCAAATAGATACACACTCAGATGACGTCAAAATGTGATGAAAACAAAAAAAGGAAGCCACAAGAYGAAATTATGTGACTGTTGTTCTATTAAAGTATTATAGGTAATAATTTTTCACATTTAATTTCTTGGACATTAGTGTAAGCACTCTACAAGTGATACATTAACATGCTATATGTACATATATTTATTTCAATAAAAGGCTAAAAAATGTAAATTAGACCCTGTTAGCTTTCTGTTTACATTGTGTTTGTCCAAAGGGGCTTCAGTGAGTTGGGTGCAGCAGATGCAGCATATTTTACAAGACTAAAATCAAAAGTAGCTAATAGTTACTTATACCTGACAGGGGAATATTAAATTCATCTCAGAAAAATCAGAAAAATGAAAAAAAATTTCAACACTCTATGATAACTTCACATATTTTTGAAAAATTGCACAAAAACATAAAAACTTAAAAGTATCTATCATATCCTAAGAGGAACAAGTGACATCCCAAAGCGAACGCTCCTCATTGGATTTATTTTTGTCCACTTTCCAGCCCTGATATCAAGCATTTCTACAGAATTCAGGTTCTTTATGCCATCAAATCCACCTGCAACATATATACAGTTGTTGATGGAGCAAGCACCTCCACTGCTACGTGGGGTCTTCRTGGATGCAATGTAGTACCACTGACCCTCACGTGGGTCAAACCTTTCTGCAGATTTCAGCCATGAACCATTGTACCCACCCAAGGCATAAAGTGAACCTAAAAAAATTATATGATCATCAATATTATTTTGAGACACATGACAACATRCAATAAAACCACCTTTTCCTTTTGATCAAAGTGTAAAGAAAATATATCAGCAATATTATTTAATYTGCTTGGAATCAATAATTTGAATGACTAAAATTATCATGAAATTCAATCATACTCTAACCTTTTTCTGCAACTAGTCCAAAGTAAGCTCTTGGTTGCAGCATAGATGAGGCAGGTACCCATGTATCACTGGATGGGATGTAGTACTCAACACAWGATAACCAGCAATCGTTTTCACCAGTCACACCCCCATATCCCCCTACAGTATATACATATCCATTCAATCCTGCTGCACCAAGATAACTGCGTCGTAACTTYATAGAGGCAGTAACAGTCCACTTGTCTACCAAGGGGTTATATGATTCTACACTTGAAAGGTAACCTTTTCTACCACAACCCCCAACTGCCAGAAGCTGTCCWTCAACTATTGCAGAACCAGCTCCAAAACGTCCTTGGTTCAAGGATGAAATTGTCACCCATTTATTAYCTGGCCAATCATATTGTTGRACAACATCAAGGGCCTGCCATGATGCACTACCWCCGACCACATAGACATGTCTACCTGTACTACAAGTACTAGCGTAATTATGATGCTGGCATAATGCTGGCAATGTTACTGGATCTGTGTCATCAGCAGATATTGTCCAATTCCATTTCATGATGTCAAAGTCAAGACATTCAACACTGTCCAGAAAAACCCCTGCTGACTCACCACCAATTGCCAGTAAAACCTGCTTTGCTTTGCCATATTTTCTATTCATAAACAAAGGGAATTCATAGGCACTGACTACACTTTTAGAGCCAAGGGCCTCGATTTGCTCCAATATCAATTCAATACAGTCAGGCTTAGTAGCTAGAATTGARTCATTTAGTAGACTATGCAAGTGTTCCACTTCAACTAGCATCAGCTGAAGACGTTTGAGGAGGTTGTAAGCAAATCTTCCCCTCTTGGCGCCATCCCAATGAAGCCACTTGATTACGCCATTCAAGAGTTCAGTTTCACCAGAAATGCCAAGATATTCACGCTCAACTAAAGTRACAATGGACTCATAAGGCTGTARAATGAATTCCTCACAGAGGAGAACTTGAGAGAAGTTCGCAGCGACGTACGAATCTGCAACTGCAAAGAGCTCTGTACAGGAAAGAGTGTCGGCAATGGCCCGAATACCTAGACARTTTAAAATACAAATTTCTTGTTCTAGGAAGTCACAGCAGTATTGTTTCACAGAAGAAACCGCAAGGAAACAAGCAGTGTGAAGTAATGATTGGACATTTTCTTCGTCGATGTCAATCTTGCCAGAGTAGAAGAAATCAACAATCTGTCCAAGTGCCTTTCCATTTAAATCACAAAGTACAATCTCCTTTTTAGAGCTCTCTGCCATTTTCCCAGAAAACATAGCTCTAAAATATGGACTTGATGCAGCTAGGATTAACCTATGAGCGGGAATTCGACTTTCTTCAACGCACAGAACGACATCACAAAGCTCTCGATTTTCGTGAAACCCACGAAAACAATCAAATGCCAAAGTTGAGAAATCTTGCAAAAAATATCCCTGGCTTCTTGTCGGGGAGAGACCTGCTTCCATATTCGATGAGTTAAGCAACAACAACTAGAGTCTACAGTGGTCCCGACACGGATCGTGTGTCAACAAAAGATAGTAAGCTTAAAATACAGTGTTTATCAACATCAAAACACGTGTTCGTACCGGTAAATCCTGAATGGGAGCAAGCTAAAACAGGTATCAAAACTCGATATTATTTGTGCTTTACAAATGTTGATTATATAAACACTGTAACACGCCATATAAAGCTGAATTCATTAGCATAAAATAATACTAAGTAATAAACAAAACAGTTTTTGTACCTGGCACAAATGGACTTTGTACTTACCGGTAATTTAACTTGACACGTGAGTCGTGCGATTTTCTCCACTGCGAGATAAAAAACAGCTTGTTTTCCAAGTTATAAACATATTTTTGAAGCATAGGATGCAGAAATTGTCCAAAAGTATTAATCAAACTGCTGATGTTTGTTGATTTTTAGTCTGTCAAACGGTTGATCGCCTTCCTATTCAACCAATCACATTCAATGTCATTCAGCTAGAGGCCAGTACAAGCTTAGGCTTATTTTTTAATTTTTTAATTTTTAATTTCTCTAAGCTGACTAAAACAGGACTCCAACCCACTTTCCTTTCTCATGACTTTAATTCAATTTCCATTGCATACATTTCCAAAATAAATTGAGAAGCAGTCTWGAATTATTCCTTTTCATCCAGTAATGATCCTACGATCCAGTGTCCATCGGTYCCAATTCAGTGAAACAAAAAACACCCATAATGCCTTACGGCAGCAAGACGCGGGGAAAATGAAAATGGCCGCCATTTYGTGGAAAAGATTGGTTCAAGAAGGCATTCTTTTGCATGGTAAGTAACTGTTTTTACCAAAGAAGGCATTCAAAGGTTTTAAAGAAGTCTTTTTTTACCTAATTGTGTCTTTTCTTTGGGTTTTTAGGTCTAAATTCTGGAAATATAAGMGAAAAATGTGGATCGTGGTCCAGGACACGTGCTCACCCTGTCTAGGCATTTTACAGGGATTTGCTCTTCTTAATATCCTTGATACTTGACAATATCCTTGCTATCAGTGTATAAGTTGTTCTTTGAAGCTATTTGTGAATATGTAGCCTTCATAATTCATGTATTTGTTTATGATAATTAGCTTTAATGTTCGATAAATCAGCCGATTGTGACRATGACGCAAAGAAAATTACAGAAACTTGACAGCACGCTTTACGARCATTTCGGGAATAGAACTCAATCTCATTGCATCTATAACTTTTACAAATACTTTTACTGTGATGAAACACTGACAATTTTACACAGCAAAACGTCTTTGACGATGCATGACTATTRCAGTACTGTATCATAACAATGCATGTTCTTTTACTGCAGTACCTCATAACTACTACTTAACGCAGTTGACAGTTACTATGACACCACAAAACTGTTACCAAGAGAAGACTCTTACTACAATACTACAATTCTATTACATTGACTATTACACTGTCACCTAATTACTACTTCCATGACAACACGTTGACTGCTACTATGCCACTTTAGTACTACTACCATAACAGAACATTGACTGTTACTATGACACCTTAGTACTACTACCATGACAACACATCGACTGTTACTATGCCACCTTAGTACTACTACCATGACAACACATCGACTGTTACTATG